AATCTATGACTTCATGGTGTTTGATGGGGGAATGTACATATGGGTGGTGCTTCTGCCCGTATTTTCTTTTCACGTGTTTTCATGCTTACCAAGCATCGCGTCTCGACAAAAGCAGTGTTTTCTGAATTGTGAAATTGTAATTCAGTAATACGCAAAATATCATTTTGACCTTTAGAGTACCCTTTAAGATCAATTGCTAATGCTATTCTGAATACCCATGTAAACAAGGAAAGCCGTACTTGATGGTAGCACAGGCTAGGATCAAGACTTCAGGACAAGAACAAAAGAAAGGCCCACTCAGCCTAACAAAATGCTAACTTTCAACACTTAGTTTATTAATCACTGATACCGCAAGAACTATATACTATAACAACATCCAGAGCATAGACAAACTGTAAACTATGAACATACATCACAGAAATGAAAAAACAATATCACTGACCACATGCAAGCACATTTATCCAAGTTGATAAACCAAGCACATATTATCGCAAACACATGTAAACAAGTTTTTTCTTTGACAACTGATATACTTCTTGCGCATGCATCACCGAATGTTGAAATTCTGCTGCAATCCGTTATCAACCACATAATCCCATGCGCTGTACTCATGATAGCAGTTTCTTTAATCTTTAAATCTAAACTTGAACTCACATCTTTGGCAATGACAGTCCAGAAAACCATCCAAAAAAATTGCTTACTTTGTTTCTGTATCTATTTCTAGTGGAACTGGATAGAAGCCTATCAGAGCACCTACAAGAATATTAACGTGATGAAAAGTATTTAGGTACCAATGACTTTTAGTTTTTATCGATGATACATCTGAAAACCTTTCTAATTAACGTAATTGCATCTGTAGCATTTTTCACGACTGCCCTAACACACTTGAAGTAGCCTTTGAAATGCCATGCTATAGAAGGATCAGAATCATTTGTACTCTGATGAAAAGACATGCTAGCGTTATGAACCCAGAGCATATAAGCAACGGTGAGTTTTAATCAACACATATTAAACTTATCAAGCACAGAATTATGCATATGTGCTTGAGTGAAATAATGGAAAAGTCATGCCCCTGCCTCATGCATGAAAGCTTCAGACAGCAGGTCTTGCGGTTAAGGGGAGATGTTTCTTCAAAATGACTGATTTTTTATTTTCGCCTGTTTTGATAACATTAGTACCTCTACTTTTATGAAAAAAAAAGCATGTCGAGACTTGACTGGAAATTCTCTAAAATTGCATCTAAAGAGCACAAGGTGCCTGTTAAAAGGCCCAAAGCGTGCAGTCTTCGAGCACCTTGCCGCCGATAATCTGCCGCCGCCCACCCTTCTCTATCGCATGAGGTGAGGAGACGAGCCTCACTGCTCAAATATCGACAGTTTCCCTCGCTGATGCGGCACAAGAAATAATAAAAAGAAGCACGCTCTTTCACGTATTTTGAGCGCCGCCACTGGCTCATCATGTGGTACGGATCTCGACCACCATTGGCCGCTGCGCGTCTGTATGTGCTGTGAAGCCTACTCGCGAGGTCCATGTCCTGATGAGCAGCGCAGCTGAACAATACTTTTCTAGTGTATTTCATCACTGTTATGAATTAAAAAAGTCATTCCTCGCTCATGAAAGCCGTTGTGGCGATGCACTCTGTAGAAATAGGCTGCGAGCAACTGGTCCGATTTGCGGCAGTTAGCTTGCAAAAGCCAATGCATCAAAAGTCATTCACAGCCATCAACCGGAAAGTTCGTGATGCGGCAATGGGTGACATCAGCGCCAATCTTGCAAGGTCGAAGGAACTTAGCGGGGACAACACTGCCATTATGTACGATGGTATGTGGCATAAACATGGCCGCAAAATGGCATTGGCACTGTTCTGTCTCTCGACACTGGACTTTGTTTAGATTTCGCAGTTCTCTCAAACTTCTTAGCTTGCAGTCAGCACAAGGCTCAGCCAGATGAAGCGGAAGAAGTTTGGCAGGTGTTTCATGGCCCTGTCTGTGAGGAGTCTGCTCGAAAAATCCGAGAGCGACAAACTTGTGGTGTTGGCATTTTTTAGTGGCAGTGCCCACTACAAAAAGGATTGTTCTTTTTGGTGTGCAAATTTCATCGCATTTAATGACATCTTTCATAAAGAAAAACTCAATTTTAACCTAAAAACTAGTTTTCTCAAAATGCAAATTTTGCCATTTGTTTCAAAGTGTGCCTCCTTTTTCTGGCACTTCTGGTGCTCGGATCTGCATGAAATTTTGCCCAATTTTTTTCCAAAGTATAACGAATACAATCCTGTAGCTTATATTTCAATATTTTATTATTTAATGAAAAATTTTATGTAAACCTTTACTAGGGTAGGTGAAATGTGGACTTTTTCAAGTCTATTACTTTTCATGCCTATTATATATTTTCTATGTGCTTCCTAATTAGTTATTTGCATTCCACACTTTATTTGGAATGTTATGAACTATGAATGATAAAAAATTACAGAAGTTTAGGGATGAAAAAAGGGGGGGGGGCAAAAGGGTTAAGGTTTTCACTTTGTCATGTTGCAGAGCTGAAAATATAGAACTTGTAAGAAAACTAATTATATATTTGAAGTCAGCATACTAAGTTTCCTAAACAGCTCAAGTTATGACCCTAGAGTTAATATTTAAAAAAAGTGTCTTCGAGTAGCGTCTCCCATCAGTTATAGAACGCTTGCTTACATAGCATTAGATAAAGACTTTGAGCGGGTGGATAACACGAGCTCAAACGAAAGAAGAAATATTGCCGTTACCCCATACATACAAACATAAGTTTTCCCATAGAGTAAAAAAGATGGCTGAACAATGTTACACAAATATTGTTTCTATCAGAGCCAAATGATGAGCCTGTGTAGGAGCACAAAAATAGATTGGACAACACAAACCATATGCAACAAAAATAGAAACAAATTTTTTGAATGCAATACATGTGTTCTCTACCAGATCCCAATTGTGGAAATTTCTACATTATAATGACTGGTAGATACATGAATGATAGGTTGCGAGAGCATAATAACAAAGTAGGTAATATTGCTGCTAAAGGTCTTCTTGCCCTTCTTGCCAAGGGCGAAAGCCTACATTTAAATAAATGGCTATCATGAGTAGAAGTAGGTGGGAGATGATGCAGTTGATAATGGAGGCAAGCAAAATTTTCAACCTTTGGCTGCATGAGTAGTCTATCAGTTATGTTGACAAAGAACTCTATTAGTACTATATGTGTTTGCAATAATGTACATTTGGTTTAGTAAATAAGATAAATGCACTCGACTGTGGTCAATTATTTGTTGACAGTCATGTATCTGTGATGTATCTGTGATGTATGTGCATTGTTTACAATTTACACACCCTATGCACACACTATGCACACGTGTTCTGCAACGAGAGAGAGACTACACTAGTGGAATCAGCAGCAGGAATCGGCAAACAATAAAAGTTTGCTCTGTATTGTCTTGAGTGTGCCTTTCTTGTCATTAACTTGTGCTACCATTCAGTATATTGTCATATTAACAAGCCCACATTGCCACCTTCAAGGAGCAAAACCCCAATAGCATTCACTATGCATGTCATACCCCGAGAATGACATTACATCTGCCAATTGACAGGAGTATTAAATAAGATTACGCCATACCACCCTATGCATAACATAACCAGAAATAACGAAGGGCATTCAAAGTTTGGGTTGCCGGTACCATAAACTTGGGAGCAGGCGTAAACAATAGCCATCATAAGAGTGCCCGCCCATCTCTCTAGTTTTTCAGAGTAGCATAATAATCATATTCAGCACAATTCCAACCATAAGGGCCTTGAAACCAATAAAGCAGGTGGAGTGCGCATTGTACACTACCCCCCCCCCCCCCCCGCCCCCCCCATGGCATGAATCCCGAGGTCCATTAAAATGCTGAAAAGATACCAATGCTCATGTCTCAAGCAACTTTACCAAAGCCTCCATTAAATTTTGGGGCCAGTTATACTTTAGGTATTTGGACTCATTATGATGCATTTCATGTAGAGATTGATCCCAGTGTTACATGTAACGAGAAAATACACGATGAACATGCTCCACACAACGTTGCTTATGCAAAATGACAATATGTCCCATCGCACACATGTGCAGAGAGTGCCGCATGGTGTGCCGATATTCATCATCTGCTACACAGTGCTGCGACAGCTCAGTACTTAGGCTTTGAACCTTTGTACTCATTTTAAGCAATGTGATGTTTGCATTGGGCAAGCCTAGAGATTTATGCCTAACCTTCTTTTCACTCGTAATGAGAGAAGCCTCGAATCCTAAATACATATAATGTGCACCACAGAGCAAAAACAACCCAGTCACTATTCATAATAACTACAGCAAATGGTACTAAACTAGCAAGCCACCTCATGCCAAACAATACACTATTGCTGTGACACATTCAATGACTGCACTGGTACACATCGGCAGTAAGCGGTAAAATGCCTCCGTCAATGTTGCGCTCTGCTTTAATTCTTCCGAGGCTTGCAATACCTTTTCATTAAACATCACACTCTACAATTTTTCACCTTGAGGCACCTTGGCTATTTCAGAATTACTAATGCAAGACAAGAGACACGCATAGACCAAGCAGCTACTGATAACAGCTGTGCGATTGCTGAAATAGAGTTATGACTTCTGCTGCTGTTGGGCAAGCATCACAGTTGATTATGCATGGGACCCAAAGCCTACCACACTTAAATGGCATGTGAGAGGTGGAGCACATTCTTGCCACCTCATATCGGCAGCGCAGTGTGTACGGCCCCCACATTCTCCCTTGCTTCCTCTAATAATGGATGGTACCAATAGTACTAATAATTTATGCTACCAATAGTTTATGGCACAACGGTACTAATAGTTTATGGTACCAGTAGCCCATCCTGAATGCCCGTTGTACTCTAAATACACATTAGAGCATGAAATGTACCAATACAGACTCCAGTAATGCTAAAAATATATATATCAATCCAGCTAAAACTCACGTGATATACTTGATATAAAGCATATAGCTTCTCTCGATGTCTCCTTCCTTGTGATATACTTCAGCCGATCGCAACATCTCCTTGCCAGACCTGATGTACCGCTTCAAGGGTATGTCTTTGTCAATTTCAATTGTGCTAGCCAATTCACTCAGAACTTTTAATTTGTACTTGGGTTCACGTGACCTGAAGAGCCTTTTAGCAGATAGCATCCTGCAATGCAAAAATAAATAAGTCAACCTGGGGCGGCTTGAGCATTCTTCTTTTTTGTAGCACATCAGTCATCACACGAACAATGTTTGAGCGCGGCCGCGGTGACCTAGTGGCTAAGGTACTCTGCTGCTGACCCGCAGGTCGCGGGATCAAACCCCGGCTGCGGCAGCTGCATTTCTGATGGAGGCGGAAATATTGTAGGCCCATGTGCTCTGATTTGGGTGCCTGTTAAAGAACCCCAGGAGGTCTGAATTTCCGAAGCCCTCCATTACGGCGTCTCTCATAATCATATCATGGTTTTGGGACAGTAAACCCCACATATCAATCGAACAATGTTTGGAACCTGTTGTTAAACATCTCGTTTATTCATCTTTTTTCAAGCAAGTTCTACAAGAGTTCTCATGTGACAGCACAACTGGCCCAACTTGTCATCTTGCTTAAACTTACTTCTAGTACTCGGGGCTCTTTTCTATTTAAAAAAAAAAAGAGAGAGATCAGCAAAGAACAACCAGCAACATAGCCTAAGCTGGAGCCACAAAGCAGCAAATCATTAGGGAATTGGCAATAGTCTTCAGCAAGGAGCTGGCAGTAATGAGCATAATTACACACACACAGTAAGACACCAGGCATTGGTAGAGCCAGCAGAGCATGTGGGACATGCATAAGGTATAACACAGAAAGTACAAAGTCTCGGCATAAAGTATCAAGGGGGAAAGATTGGAAGAATTACAGCAGATACATAGTAAATCTTTCTGGATTGTTTGGTAAATTTTGGGCAATGGAAAAATAGACCCTAGAACCTGCAATGGGCGAGACAACACACACAGCTTAGCTGTCAATGTACGAGTTTCTTACATTGCAAACAGCAGCCAGAAGCTAATCTTTACAAGTACCAACTACTCCATTCATACAGCTTATATAAACAAGTTTCCATGTGAACATGACAAGGCCCAATGCTGGGCAATTTCTGGTACATAAAGAGAGAACGAGCACTTGTCAAGACATTCATCGCATTCAGATGGTTGGTTGCTTCACGCGGTCTAAAATGTTCTGAAAGCAACCCGGGCCATGAAAGGTGCCATAGCCCATAACTCAAGACAATTTCAACCACCTGGAACTTTTTATTGAGCACTGAAATTACACAGTAAAAGAGCTTCTACCATATTGCCTCCATCGAAATGCAACCACCACAGCCGAGGTTGAGCACGCATTTTCAATTCAGAAGCCAAGCACCGTAACCACCATGTACTTCTGCAGCTTACTGCCTTTGTTCTAGCAGGCTCCCACAATCCAGAAAACCATGGCCATCAGCTGCCCTCACCATCCTGCTTGTCATCCACAGCTGGACTTCCAAGGTCATGTTTGGACTGCCCTGGCATCAACCACTATAGACCTACCACGGTGGTGGTTGTGCTAGTAGCAGGCATTGGATTAGTCTAGGTTTGCGAGCATAGTCAAGCACCATATATCAGAGTATTAGGCTTTTCTTGGCAGCGTTATCAATGTCTCTGATAAAGTTCAGGATGTACTGCCTGTAGATAAGTGTTCTGCTGGCATGCGTTCGTTTGTTAGCAGCAACAGGAGGTCATCAATTCGTGGTCTGGCTTGCAATGCGGTCACACATATTGCTAGTGTAACACTCTGAGACGCGGTTCCGAAAACACAGTGCGGTTTATTCCACCAACGTTCCAACAACCTCCTCTTTCTTTTCCCACTGCCAGTTCATGTCCCAAATTTGTTATGCCAGAAGAAGAAAAGTATGCCACAGATGGGCCCTCCTTGCAGACAAGTGGCCGTGGGCACTTGAAAAAAAAATGATCACACCGAGTTTGTGAGAACGGGTGCTGGCTTGATCCTTTCAGTGCTGACTGTGTCTTAGTGCCCATTCCGTAGGATTGTAAAATGATGTTCAGAACGTATAATGACTGGGAAAGGACCGTCATAGCGAGGCTGAAGAGCACGGCGGGACGCATCAACACGAACAAAAACGTGTAAAGATGTGAGTAGGTTTGCCGGCAGAAAAACATCGTTCTTAAGTGTGCGCTGAAGTGGGCGATGGGCGCAAGCATTGCATGAAGATCCGCAGACGCTGGACGAAAGAAGATGGATCCGGAACACTCTGCGTAGTAACGGGGCTGACGAGGTCCCCAGGCAAACGGAGTGTGCAGCCATAAACCATCTTGGCTACAGAGCAGGCAAGTTCTGGCTGAAGTGTTGAACAAAGGCCGAGAAGCATGATAGGGAGGTGTGATACCCAATCTTAGGCGTGAGGCTGTGAAGCAAGTGCTGCTTTTAGATGACGATAGAGTCTCTCTACAATGCCATTTGAAGCTGGATGATACACAGTTGTGCGAATGCACGCACATCCCAGTAAAGATGTGACAGAGGTGAAAAGTGCTGACTCAAACTGTCTGCCTTGATCAGTAGTTGCCGTTGATGGTACCGCGAAACGGCTATACAGGTAGCAAAAAAGGTACGAGCAACTGTTTCTGCCGTGATGTCAGGCATTGGAGCTGCTTCAGGCCACCTAGTGTACCTGTCAATACACATAAGCAAGTATGTATATCCCCGACATGGAGGTAAAGGTGCGACAATGTCCAAATGAATGGTGTCGAAACGTGCATCAGGGAGAGAAAATTTTCCCCAAGGAGGCTTCGTGTGTTGTTGTACCTTCATATGCTGACACGTTGCGCAAGTGTGAACCCAGTCACGAATGTTAGCGCCTATACACAGGCGAATAGTCGATGATGGCTTGAACCTTTTCAGTTAGAGGAGTGATGCCATCTTTAGTGATCTGATTCGATTTGTGGGGTTTAACGTCCCAAAACAACTATTTGATTATGAGAGACGCCGTAGTGGAGGGCTCCGGAAATTTTGACCACCTGGGGTTCTTTAACGTGCACCCAAATCTGAGTACACGGGCCTACAACATTTCCGCCTCCATCGGAAATGCAGCCGCCACAGCCGGGATTCGATCCCGCAGCCTGCGGGTTAGCAGCCGAGTACCTTAGCTACTAGACCACCGTGGCGGGGCAGTGATCTGATGTCCGAGGAACCCTATCTCGGGGACTCCAAACTGACACTTATAGACATTGATGACCAGGTCGTAAGCACGCAGCCGAATGAAAAGCTCATGCAGATGTGCCTTGTGCGTTTTAGCGTCTTTGCTGGCAACCAGAAGATCGTCTATATAGGCGAAACAAAATGGCAAGCCTCTTGTGACTTCGTCTATAAAATGCTGAAATGTCTGAGCAGCGTTTCTCAAACTGAAAGGCATTCGCAAATACTCATAAAGCCCAAATGCCTTCCAACCTCCCAAAGTTTTGGGAGTGTTGGAAGGCTCAACGGGAATCTGATGATAAGCTTTCACGAGATAAATCTTTGAGTATACTGTTGTGCCAGTTAAAAAGGCAGTGCAGTCCTAAAAATTGGGTAACGGGTATCGATCTGGAACTGTGACTGCATTGAGAGCCCGATAATCACCACAGGGCTGCCAGTCATTGTTCTTCTTGAGAACCATGTGTGGCGCCATCGACCACGAGCTTGATGACGGACAGATGATCTGCAGCTGTAATATATGCTCGAATTCATTGCGAGTAATTTGAAGTTTATCGGGGCCAAGTCAACGAGGACGGCAGTGGACAGGTGAGCCTGTGGCAACGATGCAGTAGGTGACAGTGTGCTTGGGGGTATTATTCATTGGAGACTGCGTAGTAATCTCCGGAAACTTGTTGAGCAGAGCTGTATATGGTGACCACGACCTGCTCTATAAACTTACGACCTGCTCATGCCACCGCTACCCATGTCGCCAGGTTTGCTTTTGCTTGTTCAATATTTTTAGTTCTCAAAATTGCCACAGCACGCCGTGGCGCCACAACTAATCCTCATCGCTGCAGCCGCCAAAGCGCTTTCCTGCGCGGTGCGTGCGTGCGTTAACTCGTTTTTTGTGCCATTTGAAGGTTAGCGTTCATCAGAATATTTGTTCAAGACTTCAGAGCGTTAGGGTACGACAGGTACAGCACCATTCACATAATGGTGTACTGCTGAGTTACATTCTGCAAGTCGCGCAACCGGCGGTCAACTGGGATATCACTTCACGAATTTCCCGTCACTTAGATTCGACAGCGCCCTAAAGCTCATGGAATAGAACAGGGACAATTCAAAGTGACTTAGCCAGTTATAACGCATGGTATAGACTGACACTCGCATTTCTAGAAAGCATTATTGCCTTTACAGAAATGAAGCGCGACAAAAGCTGTTGTCACTTAATACGCTGTATTTTGCTGATCCAGAGATTAAAGCTCGGTGACATCGCCAGTGAGACACACACGGAAACGCCAGCGGTGCTTGAACAGTGATGCAACGAACTCCTGCAGGTCAATAAATCACTGTAACAACATTGCAGTAATCCACCAGTTTTATCGCGTGCTTCTCTCAATCGTTAGACATTCGCCAGATGATAGCACACCTACTCCCTTCTATTGTTATCAGTAAACACTATCACTGAAGGACGTTATGCAGGGCATGAAAACTTACACGGATCATCGCATGCCTTTTTAGTACCGTATGCGTCTTTATTGCGTCGCAGAAACACACATTTCAGGTTGAAACTCGTTACAAGATCGCAGTTTTGCCCACGGACAAATTATTTCAGCACAATCTAGACAGCTGTTAGGTAGAGTGCACTGCCTGTCGCATATTGCTCGCGTTCGCCTGCGCTTAGACCAGGAAACAAAGCGCTCACGCAGATTGAGTTCCTGTGATGAACATCCTGGAGCCAACCACTATGGTTCTCACAGCTAGAACGTTGCTTTGATTCGTTAACTCCGTGGGTTGCTCGATCGGCGCATTATAAATAAGATAAAAATTGCAGAAACGCGCACGCACGAGTGCACCACTACGGCAGCACGTCGTCTATATGAGGATAAGTTGTGGCGGCACCTCGCAGTATCTCCGGTCCCTATGCGCCAATTTTTGGGCCACATGCTTTCATAGGGGTG